GTCTCGAGGGGGGCCCAGACCAGGGCCAGATGCAGTTGTTGTTGTCGTTGTTGTAGTTGTTGTTGTGTGTGAAGCATACATTAAAATAAAATCAAGTTAACACAAAATAACACAACACACACGAAATTAAGAAAGAAATAATTGTTAAAAAGCGGAAAAGTCCAAAAAGAAAGACATAATAGTGAAAAAACACACACAAAATTAGAGAAGAGAAGCGACAGAGACAGCGACAACAAAATCCAAATGCAGCGCTCGGTCCACTCCGATGCCAAGTCGGAAGCGGTTCGGGTACGGGCTACGGGCTACGGGGTACGGGGTACTGGGTACGGCGTGTGCCTTTTCTTCAAAGTGAAATTTCTTTCAATGCCACTAAATCTACAATGGGACTGTGGCACATCAAAAGCGAGCAATTTTACTTGCATCAAAACGTAAAGACTGCGTTTCCCCCCCCCCGACCTAACATTAAGGAAGTTTGTATGCCCTTTCTGAGAGAGTCTTTGATATTGAACTGCTACTGGGTTGATTGTGTCTTAATTGATAGGCATTTGGCGCTTAAATGTGCTCTTGAAACTCATTTGATTTTAAGTTAATTATGTGCAGATATTGCAATGGATTTCTGGCTGCCCTTTTTTGATGAAGTATTTGAAAGCTCCACACCCGATTCTCGCTGCGCAAGTTCCTCGCACAAGTCCATGGACACCCGCATGGCCATGAGGGCAGACAATAAAGACTAAAAGAAGCCAACAAAAAAGAAGAAGTTCCAATGGCTGAGGCACACACGCACTGCACAGTGGACAGTGGGCAGTGGACAGTGGACAGCGGACATCTGACAGTGGTCATGAAAAGTGCGTGGATCATTACTTCTGTTTCTTTGCTTCTTTTGGGGATTTTTTTTCTTGGAAGAAAAATATGGCAGAGCATGCCATGCCATGCCACATGTCAGTGGAAGGGGAGAGCTTACTGTGCTGTAGCTTAAGACACAATTTATTTTGCGTTTAATTGCCGCAATTGTGAAATTAATTTCGTTTTCATTGGCCAGAGAAATCTTTTCTTGAGGCTTTTTGTGCGCCGACTTGAATGGCCGATGGGTAAAAGTGACCAGAGGAAGAAGATCTGGCATGGAATGTACCTACACACTGGGCGGGGGGTTGGTGGGGGCTTCCTCCCTCAATCGATGTGATGATAGTGCTGGAATTTCGAGTAGATCGCATCAAGGTAGGCATTGACCCAGCAAGCCACTGTCTAGGACACTGAATCCGAGTCGGAAATCTCTCAGTAAACACAACCCCAGACAAAAGTGGGGAGAATAAAAATCGAATTTCGAGCATAATTTGGCGCGAAATATTGGACAGACATGAACCGCAGGACACTAATGATGCAGGCCATGAAGGAGAATGTGAAGAATATGCGCGCGGAGCAGCAACTCCTCCGCCAGGAGATTACAGACCGGGAGCAGCGCGCACAGAACGTGGAGCGCATTTTTGAATTGAACCGCCAGCTGGTGGACACCACAAACTACTTGATCGATACTCTGCGGCAAATGCACGCGGAACCCTACCATGAAGCTGTGGAGATTCAGATCCAGCTGGCCCTAGACGTGTGCGACATTCTGACTGGCGAAATGCCCAATGGATTGCCAGATTGGCAGGTTTGTATTACCACAGAAAGGAGAACCTTCCTACCCAGTTGGACCTCCTTCTGACTCACAGATTCCCATTCAAAATGGATTACTGGGAGAAGTTGATCAGGGAGAACCTTCCAACAGTCCTCGTGGTGAACTAATTGAATTAGGAGCAGCACAGGTGGGTGCAAAAGTAGAGACTGTGGACCCAATTGAGAATCCTTTTGGTTGACAGATGGCTGTAGCTGAAGTTGATTTTGCCATTCAGAATGGATTGTTAGCTGATCAGCTTGCAGAACCTTCTGTTGGTACTTCTGCCTCGCATGTTGATGGAACTGAGGGCGAACTTGACCAATCACGTGGAGAAGCGAAGAACGAAGAGCGTCCCCATAGTCCCCTTTGCTCACAAGTTCCTGCAGCTGCAGCTGAAGAGGGTTCACCTCAGAGCAGCCTTTGATTTAACCTTTGATTTGTCCATCATTTAATTATATTTTTTAGTTCGTTTATTTGTGTATATACCAAGTGGGGAGCACTTATTCGTTATTCGTTTCAGCTGAAAGTTTTTATCCTCAATGATCTAGTTTTCACTAGAGGAAATCCAGCCCAGTGCTCTCATTCGCATTCCAACACTTTATGAACTAGATCGAACAGAAATCAAATCTGCTCTTAGTTTTTTTGCACTTGGGCGGCTTCGGCTTCCCACATGGTGGGGCCTCCCATCCCACTGAGCCTCACCTGAAATCAATAGAGTTGGAGAGTCATCGTCATCGTCAACGACGCCAGCGTCGTCGTCGTCGGTGATCTCAATCCAGATTTGTTTGCACTCGAAATTAGTTGAGAATTGGCAAACAGAAAACAGAGAGAGGAAGACAGAGAGAGAGAGAGAGAGAGACATCAACCGAGGCCGCCCTCATTCGATATTAGCTGACTAAACATGGCCAGAAAAAAGGAAAGAAAAAGAAGAGAGAGAGAAGAGGAAAGGCAGAGACGATCGAGACAATCGAGACAAAATCGCAGCAAAAATTTGATTTTCAAATCAAAATCTAATGAAAAGGTTATAAATGCCGTTACACAGCCAGAGACACCGGGATGCAGCAGCCAGCCGTTTCCCAACTCCAACGCCAGCTCCGCGCATACAAAAAGGCATAAAAGTCAGAAATTATGCCAAATAACAAAGAGAGACTTAGAGGACGGACAAGAATCCCAGCCCAAGCCGCTTCTAATTTTGTTGGCTACACCGCTAGCCGAAGAATTCTAAGCATGCAACATGCCGCCCCCCCCTGCCGTCGCACTACACTGACAGAAAATCCCCAGCCAGAGTCGGAGAGAAGAGTCTCCCCTTACGGGTTGATTCTCTCAGTGTCCTACAGTCCGCATTCACACGCCAGCCGACGAGGCAGCAAAAGGCAGCAGCGAATTGATGCCGCCGATGATGAGGTGCCAGTCAGAGTCAGACTCAGACTCAGACTCAGTCGGAGCTTTAGTCTCAGGCTTTAGCTTCAGATGCAGCTTCAGCTCTATGAAGACCCAGCTCTGGACAGAGCTGCGGCTGCGGCTGCGGCTGGGATACGATGCCTGAGATTATGCTAATAAGTTTGGGCTGCCGCCGATGCCGTAAAACCGTATTGGTAGAGCCGAAGTGAAGTCGCTGCCAGCGACGACAGCGACACACAAACAGAGAACAGAGAACAGAATAGAACAGCAGCAGCAACAACAACAGCAACAACAGGAACAACAGGAATGAGAAGCTGAGTGGGAACACCGAAGTTTGGAGCACTCTTGCTCATATCTGCGTTGAGTAAGCTGAGCTGTGCTCTGGATTGGCTACCTGTGTTCATTTTACGTACCTTTTACTTATCGACTTCTACATTGATTAGCTCTTAAGTTGAAATTGAGTTAAAGTGCTCCTTAAGCTAATTCCGAATACATTTGCACTGCGAAATGTGTAAAGTGTATGAAAACATGAACAATAGCAATAGCAACAACTGCAACAGCTTGCAAAGCAGCAACGGAACGTCAGCGACAAGACAACAGTAAAAGCCGAAGTCAAAGTCAAAGCCAAAGCTGAGGCTGACTCTGAGGCCGAAGCTGAAGCTGAAGCTGAGTCTGAATCCGACTCTGAAGTAAGAGCTGAGGACGTAGCTGCATTCTAGGTCAGTGACTACTAGGAGCAGCCGGCCAAGTTCTTGGCTGCTGCTGCTGCTGCTGCTGCTGTTCATGTTGGTGTTGGCCAATGTCTCATTCAGTTATCAGTTAAATGGTGGAAACCCCTGGTCCAGTGGGGAGCTGCAACAGCCTGGGAGGCAGAGAGCGAGGCTGAGCATGTAAATCGGTCAATTGAAGCTAGTTGTGTGCCATATTGCAATTTTTGGACCAAACCAGTGCCGGGGATGGGAATGGGAATGGGAATGGGAATAACTGCAGCTAGGCCAAATACCCATGGGAGTTGACAACAGAGCAGCCAAAACCACCCACCATAGACAATATGCAACAGCCAAGAGATGGATCCAAGGTTGCCTATATTGGGTGGGGGGGTTACAGGTTCAATATCATAGATTAGTTACTCTTTAAAGTTACTCTCTAAACCACTAATCATCGCAGAGTTCTGGTACTCTGTTCTTGTTATGACTGAAATTTTACGGTTTTTTCACGCTGCTCGTTCACAGTTGCCTGAACATAATGCTAATGAATATAACGACCAGGAACGAGTGATAATGATCAAACAGAACTGTCTTTACAGCAGCAAACTCCAGTCCCCAGGCGCTTATCTCGGGAATCTAGCAGACAGAATGGATCGCGTTCCACGCAAGTTGACAAAACACACAAATTGAATGATGGCATTTGATTGATATTATACAAAATTATGCTATGCGACGGCGACCACCCCAGAGAACAGATCAGAATCGAACAGAAAGAGAACAGAAGAGTGTGTGGAGACGGAGCAGGAATAGCCATAGCAACGGGAACGGGAACATGATTGCTGAAACAAATTGTAAGCAGCAGCCCGTTGCTGTCTCTTCTCTGATGCTCTCTTTGTGCCTCCTTCGTGCTATTTGGGATTGGGATTGGGATTGGGAACAATCAAAACAATTATTTGTCTAACATGACTCACTATTACACCATCAAAATCACCATCACCATCGCGGCATCAGACTTTATTTGACGCCTCTTCCACACGCAAATTGATTAGCATTGTTTTGCCATTCATTTTGAATGGAATTATAGCTTGTGGTTGAGCATATGGACTGTCTTACTGGATTTGTGTACCAGAAGGTTCTGTTATTTGGAAATAAACATTATCAAACTTTGACTGGTCTTCGATGGCCACTAAATGTCTCCCATTCAAAGTTTTCACTAGAATAAGTAATTATAAATAAATTTAAGCAAAGCTCCTCGAAGATAATTTTCTCAATCTATCAATCGATTATACTCTGAGTATTTTAAGGTATATAAATCTTAACAATTTCCAAAGGGAACCTAGAAATCCCAAGTGATTTTAAGCCAGCAGATTCTTCACTTTCTTTCATGTCCGAATTTTGGATTAGGGTTGGGAGCGGCTCGGCTTGAGGTCTCAGAACTCAGTGCGGATTTGGGTCCGTGTAGCACTTTCATATTGATAATCGTCATAAATCGTCAAATATTTACGGGTATATGACCGCGGCATAGAACCCTCCTACTTGGATATATTTGAGATATAGCAAAGCCCCCACCATTGTTGACGCTTTTTGCGAGTGGAAGTGGAATGGCGGAAAAACAAATCAAACAAAAGAAATACAAAGCAGAAAAAAGAAAAGGCAAATAACTCAGACAGAAACTGAGACTCGGAGACCGGAGACCGGAGACCAGAGACCAGAGACTGAGACAGAAAGAGAAACAGAACCAACAACCATAGGGCTGCCTGACCCAGTAAAAGAAAAAGTTTATTTTTATATTTTTGTCGTTTTTTTTTGTTTGTTTGTTTCATTCATTTGCTTTGTTGTTCGGCACAGAGAACAGCCAAAGCATTTTGGCCAAATAGATATTAATTCTTAACGGTTTTTACTTTCACGTTAGAACAATATGGACAGGGCGATAATTATATCCAAAGATGACGGCCTCGGGCCTCTTGGCTCGCGTTCGCGTTCGCGTTCGGCTTGCAAAAAATCTTTTGTTTTCTTTGCTCTTCCGTTGTCCGAGTCCAGTGATGGAGTCAGAGCTGGAGCTCGACCCGGCAGAGCTCTTTGCTTGCCTTTTTGTGTCCAAATAGACTTAGAAGTTTGTCTTCATTTGTTTTCCTTCGCTTCGAGCTGAATAAATAGAAAATTCTTTTCATGTATTCATAATTCATGATTCAAATGGAAACTGGACTAAAGCTTAACTGGAAACGGTGTTGGACAGATGCCGATCGCATCTGGAACACAATCCCCATTCACATTCACATTCATCCTCATACTCTTTGAGTCTTGAGTTTTGCCTATAAATAAATGAGAGACGACAGCTTGGCATATTTTCTGGGAGAGTATCGCTAGTATCGCACTCCCTGCTGGCATTCAGCATTTTTCCATAATTTCCCGAGCCATCAAACGCAAATGGGTCATTTCATGGCATTGATGGTGTCTCTGCGGATGGCTCGCTGTGGCTAATAAGTGATAGTGGACCGAACATCGGAATGGTCATCATAACCGACACATGTCATTATCTGAGCCCGTTCCGACGAGCATGCAACGAAGCTCCGTTGAGACTTTAAACTCAACTTGCAACTACAACACACCAAACAACCACCCACCCACTCCAACCCCCCTTTCTAATGATCTTTTTTGTTGGTTATTTCTGTTTCTGTTTCTGTTTCGGTTTCTTGTTGCCTGTCGCGTTTGCTCGTTTTGTGATTTTCGAAATAGATTTTCTTGTTTCCCGTACAACTTTCACATGTGAATGTGTCTGCCTACTGCCGTCATCATACCATGCTACCATCCATACCCATACCCAGTTTCATTTGCCACCTTCTCATCCTCATCCTCATCCTCATAATCATCTGCTGCTGCTTGTGCCACTGCTTCATTCTCTCCTGTGCATCTTCTTATTGGCTGGCGCTCTGTCGAGTTAATGTCTTGGCCGTCTTGATTATTACGCTGGTGAGATCTTTTGCTTTCAAGAGTATATTTTTGTCTTCTTTGACGGTGCTTAACAGGGTAGCAGGGGGGATAAGCCAGCGGAGAGCCAGTGGAAAGTTAAATATCAAAAGCTGCAATTTTTACTCATCAAATCCTAGAGGAAAATTAAATGGGAATTCTTTACTAATATTTTTTAACTACTAAAATGCTTGCCTAAGTTTTCTCGTATTGTCCAGGGTATCAAGTAGGTATTATCTTGTTGCTTTTTCTGTTGTGCATGCAAATTTTTGTGGATTTTCTTTTGGTGTCGCTGCAGCAGTCCCTGTCCCTGTCCCTGTCCCTGCCTCCTGCGACTGCGGCTATAAACTTAATTTTGATTTAAAGTTACAGCTTAATTCTAATGGTCAAAGAGGAATGGCAGCGGGAACAGTGTCTGCAGTGCTGCCTTCGTGGAGCATCATCATCATCCTCCCGACATCATCTTGATTTTGCCAGTAATTGTATGACCAGAGGGGCCTGCACTGAAAACTCACCTCTGTCTTTGTCTCTCTCTCTCTCTGTCTCTCTGTCTCTCTGTCTATCTCTCTTTTGTGCGCCACCATTACCCTGTTGGACTCCGCCTCTATGGATTCCACAGCATTTCACTTTTTTCCTACATTTTTCTATGCCTTTATCGTGCCGCAAATGATGATCGATGTGCGCTTCGCATGTCTCCGGCCACTTCTTCTGCACCCGGCCAATATTCATTTAAATTGGCCAAATGCAAAATGGCCATCAGTGCCCCTTCGTTCCCCCACCCAATCACGATATACATACACACATACATATTCGTCTTGTCAACAGCTAATGCCAAAAATTATTAAGACAAATGCCAGAGCCAGAGCCAGAGCCTGCAATCGTATTCCCCCGATGTGTTCAGATATGTACGAGTAGTAATCGGATTGAGAGAATTTAATTAGGATCCTAAATGAGCAACGCCTGCCACTCACGATGCTTCCTGATGCACAACTCTGACTCAAACGTGGATTGGGGGCTGGGATTCAGACTGAGAACTGAGGACTGAGGACTGCGGACTGGGAGCCATCCTAATCCACGCTAATCACCAAACCAAACCACTTGAATGCGGCGGCTCAGCGTCAGGCGCGAGTCTAATAAATGACCAGACTCAGACTCAGTCCCCGGCTCATCATCGCTGTCTCTATCTCTGTCTCAGTCATTGCTGACGTCTCCATCTCCTTTTCCCCATGGCTCTCTCTGTGTCTTAATCTCCTCCATGCACCTCTTGTTAGCAGTCAACGCCGACGCCGACGCCAACGCCAACGCCGATGGGGCTGCCTGCCTCTCTCCAAGGCGCTAATTAGCCACGTTGCCTGATGGCCTGTTGGTAATGGCTTTTTGGCATTTTCGCCTTTTCGTTTTCGGACAAACGAATTGCCTGCCCGACTGTTTAGAGGTGTGAATAGGGATGGGCGAGCAGCCCAAGGAGGCACCACGGAGAAGCCAACACAGAAAACCCAATGATGGACACTTGAAGACACTTGGAATGAAAGAGGAACGAAAATTTACTTCCTCATCGTGGATAATTATACTTCTTTCGATGTCGAGTACCTGCATAGTCCCATTGCAGGATATTACAGGGTGATCCTTTCAAAGATCGGCTGTAGGGTGAGGCAATTCTCTTTCGCTTGTGCGTGTCACAAGTTGGGAGAAAGGACGTGCCCACAGAGAGAGCAACTCCATACTCCAATTCCATTGATCAACTGCTTCCGGTTATAAGAGAACCGATTCATTGACGACTTTTGCTTATTCCGATGGTGGAGTAGAGAGGGGGCCACAGTTTGGGGCCAAAAATCTAGTTGGGACAATCAATTTCCCATTGGAAGAAAGCTAACGGTTAATGGCCAGCTGTGGGCCATATCGGTGTCGCTATCTTGGTATTCGTGATTAGTTTGGACCAAACTGATGGACTGACTGAGCGAATGATAAAAGGTAATTAACAAGAAAAGAAGTTAAATCAAACAACGTACTAAAATCAACAAAAGATTATTTGATCCACGGTGAAAGGTTATCTATTCATGTATGTACATACATACATATGTATGTGTGCTCTCTCCTCTCTCTCTCTCTCTCTCTCTCTTTGTAGAAATCAGCTGATGGCGCACACCGGAAAAGAGAGAAGAGAAGGTTGGCGTCCAACACGCAAGGGAAATACTCTCAAGATGGATGGGTAAGGATGGGGCATTTGAGGCATGAGAAAACGAGATTGAAACGAATAACAATAATTTGAATAATCGTTAATTCAACATGCATTTAATTAACTAATTGGCAAAGGGCTCTTCATATGACCGACGTATGTGTATTGTGCTTCCAAAATTATATCCTTTTCAATTACAGCGCATGCACGAGTCGGGGCGATCTCGGTCGCTAGGCTTTGGATTTCTTGTCTCATTTAAAGTGATTTCTTTACGCTTTCGCGACGACTACGGTTGCTGTTTTTGTTGCTGTCGCTGCCAGCGCTAGGTGTTCTTCTGCTCTGGTCCGCTGTGCAGTACGCTCCAATCTTAATTATTGCCTCTTGCAACTGTTATTGCTACTGCAACGTATCTGGCCTCCTTCCCTGTCCCCCCCACCCTACACTCCATGGCTCAGGCAATTCTTTTTTCTGTTATGTCAAGCTTCGCACAGACCCGATCACGAATACGATTGAGTCGCTGCTCTAATGAATTATGATTACAGCTGCAGAGCACTACAGCACAGTTCAGCTCTCTCTGTCTTTCTCTCGCACTCTCTTTGCCTGAGAACTCTACAATTTTCTTGCACTCCGCAGCAGCAGCAGAGAAGAGCAAGTTCTTATGTTAGCGATCAGTGTTAGCCGAATGTTAGGCAACAGCATGGCAATGACCTGCGAGAGTGCGTAGAATTTACCCCGACTAAGAATTGTTATTACTCACTCGAGTCTCTAGGTACGCTCTCATCCGACCCAACCGACCCGCGCCCCGATCCGACCCTCGCCAAGTAATACTCACTTTAATGTTTAGGTTTCTTTATTTCTTGCCACCGAATCCCCCCTTGACAGTACGACCCGTACGGGGTCTACCCTCTGGAAACAGGCGACCGTTAATGCTTAATGCAAATATGTGTTTCACATCATTTCTCTAGCCTCCTCCTCCTTCTCTTACACTTATGTATGTACAGACATATTTACATACATACGTACATATTTACATACTTACTATTATTCCTTACCTTTTTAGTGAGCACTTCTTTATTTTCTTTTTCTGGATGTATTTTAAATATGTAAATATATATTCCGTACCATTCCGTTCTGCACTTTTGGAGGGTGATTAAAATTTGGGCCGACTTTAATAGGCCTGAGAGATTACATGGCCGAGAGGATTAAAAACACTCCCCATGGAGGGGGAGGAACACTTAGGAGTTGTTATCCTGGGATCATTCTCGCACCGCTCCCATGATTTTTGCACAGCGACCCCTCCGCCCCGAAAGGTAACACATGCAAATCGCGCCGTCTCTATCCCTGGTAACAGGTGTCGTTGCAGAAGAAGGTCGCTCAGTCGATGTTGCTTCTCTGCTCTGTTCTGCTCTGCTCTCTTCCTCTGCTGCTGTTCAAGTTCAATGCTACGACTGCGGTGACTGCGGTTGGCTGGCGCTGCTGTTAGGCTTGAGGTCGGGCACTGCCCCCATACCCCTTTCCCACCCACAAACTCTACATACTGAGAGGAGGAGAGCGTTGTAACTTTGGAGAGCATGCTCTCTCTCTACCTGTGGTACTCTCTCTGTGGCTGTCGTTCTCTATCGTTTCTTTCTCGTGTACGATCGCTGGAGCGTGCGTTCGTTCGTTCGTTTCTTCGTATAAACGGAGATGGCAATGCCTGTGTGTGTGTATGTGTTTGGAGTAGAAATGGGGCTCGCGCTTTTCTTTGCTTCAAGTTGCCTCTGCTGACGGCTCTGCCTGCCTTCTGCAGCAGGCCTGGGCCACGGCCATGGTCGCTTTCTCTGCTTCTGCTTCTGCTGCTGCTGTTGCTGTTGCTTCTGCTTCTGCGGCTGTTCTTGCTGGCTCTCTTGGATACCATTCCTCTTCTTTCGCTGCTGCCACAGCCGCTTTGTGGAGACCTCTGGGAAAGGCATAAAAGTGGCGCACGACCAGGGACATCAGCCATTGCGCGTGATGCAATTCAAGTGCTAACAGCTAACATCTCGTCGTCGAGTCAGCCATCACCAGCAGCAAGCAGCAAGCAGCAGTACCAGCAGCAGTAGCAGTAGCAGACGGAATCAGCAGCACCGTGAACAAATATTTCTTTTTTTTTTTTGGTTCATCCGCCCGCTCACTACTCCCCCTCTATCCAAGTGTGTGTCTCTGTGAACTGGCAGTGTGTGTGTAACAACAAAAATCCACTCCTTGCGGATGCGGACCGAGCGCGGATCGGCCGAGTGACAACAAAAAGAAAAGCTACCAGTGTGACAAAAAGAAACACCCAATAACCTTAATCCAAACTGTGAAAGTGTCCCTAAAGCAGACACACACACACACACACACACACACAAACACACGCACACACACCTAAAGAAATAAACACTTGCAAAAGGATTAAAGCAAAAGTTTAGAAAATTGTGAAATATTTTCGAAAAAAGACACCCACAAAAGGTAAGACGCGGAAAACAGAAAAACAAAAACCAAAACTAAACAACTAAAAGTGCAACTCGAACATTTTTTTATACATTTTTTTCTGGGATACTCGATAATTTTTTTAAGTGCAAGATTACAACCAATGTGGAGAGTAATGGAGTGAAAATGGTCTGAAAATAAATTGAAATTCTAATGATCCTGCGTGGAAGTATTACCCACACATAACCCTTACCCTACCCAAATCTAACACCTTCAAATTCAAAGGTGCCCATCAGCAGCAGGAGGTCTTCATGTCTCCATGTTTGAGCCTGGTGTCTGTTTGCTTCGCCAATTGTCACCTCTTTTTCCCTCTTTTTATTGCGGCACCTTAAAGGGAAAGACTCAGGCAACGAACTTGAGCCGCAAGTTCCATTGAAAATCCGTGAGCATTAGGGAACGATCCAAGGAGATTCGTGGCCGCAACATTTTCCATTTCATTCGAAAATGCAAGGAAGCCGGATCCGACAGAGAGAGAGTCAAGAACTGGGGTGGTCTCTGGCCCGGTCCGCACTTCCATCTTTTGCTTTTGCTTTTGCTGTTGCTCTGCTCTCTTGGTAGTTTGTGTTAAAGTCATTAACGCAGTTAACCGTTATTACCCACCGTTGGTCGGGGGTATGGGTATGGTCACCCAATTCATTAGGAAAGTATTTAGTGGCAGAGTGAGGCGAACAAAGAGACAGAGACTGGTACGGGGACAGTACGGGAAAAGCAAAAGCAACGGTCCAAGCAAGAGCATGAGAAACGCATTAAAATAAAAGGCCACAAGAAAAGTTAACGAAAAATGTGAAGTAACAGAGACTGAGGAACTGGGGACAACCTGTCTCCTTCTCCAAAGCCAACCCAGAGTACAGCCCATCTAGAGCCACTGTGCACTTCATTCCATTCAAGCAAAATCAAAACCAACAGCAAAACCAACAGCAACAGCAACAGCAATTGTAGCCGGCGTCTGGTTTAATGTGTTCCCAGTAGCACAGGCGGAGTCGTCTCGAATGAGAACTTTATTGTTTTTCAGCGCCCCGGAAATAATGTAATAATCTTGCATAAAACGAGCTCAGCTGCTGCTGCTGCTGCTGCTGCTTCTACTTGTTATTCTTTTATAATCGAATCGTAAAAAAAAATGACGAAAGAAAAGGCTAAGGCTAAGGGTAAAATAGTTGGGAAAAAGAAGCGGGAGAGCCACAGGCAGGGGGCCCATTAAAATGATTTGGTGGAAATGCTGTAGGAAATGGAACCTGGAACATATGAAAACCTGCAGGCGGCGGGTAGCAGTCAGAAGTCAGAAGGCCGCCAACTACCCGTACATTGGCGAGTTTGAGATTGGGGCGGGGAAAAGCGGCGGACAAAGAACTAATGCCGACCCCAAAGGGGGCAGGCATTAGCATCGAACATTAATTAATGTTACACACAGTCAGTCCACAGCCGTCAGTCAGTCCAACCTTGATGCAACGTCCACCACACTCACATCGACTCCAGCAACGACTTCAGCAATCATTAAACAAGCCCAAGCCAGCCTCGCAATCCATCAATCGAGGCAGAAAAAAAGAGGCAAAACACCACAAAACCATTTTCTCCTCATTAAAGACGGATTTCCACTTTAAACTCTCAACTTACTCTCTCGCTCTCTCGCTCTCTCGCTCTCTCTCTCTCTCTCTCTCTCTGTCTCTATCCCCTCCGTTGCACATTTCTCTTTTCAATGCGTGTTCAAAGTTGACCCAAAAAGAGGAAAGCCAAGCCAAAAGAAAAGAAAAGAACCAAAAAGATTTAACGCTAAACGCTCAACCAGCCAAGAAATCGGTACATTTTGGCCCAGTTTAGATTGTATGCTGACCAAAAGCGGAAATTGGTTGGAAGTTGATTGCAGCGGGAGAGCGGAGGCAGAAGAAAAGAGAGAGAGAGAGAGAGAAAAGACTAGACTTATATCTCATTCCCGATGAAACTAATGGGTTGCGTTCGATTGAGTTGCCATGAGATGTGCTGGGCCCGCTCCCTCGTAGAAGTTCTTGTAAATTTTCGCATCGAAACCATTTCCTGTACGGCCGTAAAGCTCATGTAAGCTCTCAAAAAATGTCTCCTCAAAAATATCTTCTGGTTTAGTTGTAGCTCCATCTGTCCATAATGGAACACTCTTACCATTTCGCTTCGTCACGACGGGTGGAGCTACTTCTGCCGCAGCCTCCCCTTATTAGCATCTCGGATTTCATCATCACCCTTCCCGTCTTGCGTCTGGTTTTGCTTTTGCCGCTTCGCTTGGCATAGATTCTGTTCTCTCTTCTCCTAATGTTTGGGGGCTGAGTATGTGGGTCAAATGTGGATTCAATTGATGTGCACCTGTTGGGAGAAGACGCATGATAACACCAAAGTACAAGTAAAGATTCGCCAGGTAAATAGCTCCCCGTCCCGCACCTGCCTGATGCCTGATGCCTGTAGCGATACAAGCACTCGACCGCTTTGAGTGCCTGTTGAATGGTTAAGCGATACTCGCACACGATACATCTACTCGACGGCGCAAGACCGAGTGACGAGTGATGGGCGACGAGTGATGAGTGGATTGGAGGTGTATCTGGAGTGGAGGCTCATGGATACTCGAGACGCGCTCAGACACTGGCCTTGGGGCAGAGCGGAAGGAAAGTTTCTTTCTTTGGCTTTTCTTTTTGGCAATACATTAAACGTAAACTGTTCCACATAGAATCTGGTACGGCTTTTGGCCATGGTAATTATGTGTACCAAAAATAAGCCAGCTCATCATCATCATCATCATCATTAGCAGCAGCAGCATCTCAGATGTTTTCCCATCTTTCCATTGTCATCGTCATTTTGGATGGAGAGGGTGAATCTTCTTCGGTTTCGGAAACTATTTTGTTTGTGCTTGGGTACCATGATGACGATGACGATGAGCTGGCACTTGGGTCGTCTCGTTCCAGCTGAAATCTTTTCGTTTTCTTTTCATTTGGTTTGGTTTGGTTTGCTTTTGGGGCCCTGGCCTGTGGAATCTGTGCTATTCGAACGGTTGTTTTGCTTATAGCCCACCAAGCTCCTCTCCTCTCCCTCTCTGTTCTCTCTTCTGCCGCATTTGGTATTATAAGCCATATTAAAAAGAAACGCTTCTTAGTTATGATTTCTTCTTGTTCTCTTTTTGGGCACACCGAGAGGGAGAGAGAGGGAGAGGGAGAGAGAGAGCAGGGAAAATGTGGGCCAAATTCTGTATTTCATCTTTATTTAGCTTGGGTTTTGGCTTTGGCTTTGTCATACCAAAATGACGTAGCCCAGAGCTGTGGAAGCTCGTACCCTAACCTCGCTAACGTTAACTTTCAGTCCCAATTAGGCTATAAAATTATTCAAAATATAATTCGATTCGTTCGAGAAGCGGGAATAGCAGTAAAAGTATAGATAGATACTTGAATGGTCAAAGAACGTTTGAATGAATGAATGAATGAGCAAATCCATGAATGAGTGGCCCCAATGTGAGTCTGAAAAGACGCCAAGTAAATGCAAATTGCTGCCACAGCCTCAAGTGGAGCACAAGAAGGGGGGAGGACCAAAGAGTGGCAACTAATTTGCATTTTTCTAGAGAGAAAAACTCTGCTAAGGAAAAACATAAATCTGATTTTGTGCTAGAACACGCAGCGGTTGGGTTTCTAGGATGATTTGTTGAGAGATTCCATTCGATTCCCACAAGTATCCGTTTACTTATGGGAAATTTCCACAGCGAATCAAGGTGCATGCAACAGGCGAGTACAGAGGTGCAGCTTCATTGACCTCAAGCAAGGCCTCTGGTTATACTTTCCTTCCATGAACCATTAACCAGAAACCCTTCGCTTTTATCTCCACCCACTCCAGTCCACTCCACTCCACACTCCCCTCCCCACACTCATTCACTGTCATCGATGTTGTGGGCGCATTCATTTCGTATCGATTACAAATTCCAAATTCTATTTATGATTAATGAACCGCTGACGGGAGTACCACAAATAGGCGTTTCGCTTCGTCTTCGAGTCAAATTCTGTGTGTGAAAGTGTTCCCATTTCGACTTCTTCTTGAAGATTCCCAAAACAAACCCCCCCCCCCCCAGTGTCTCGTTTCGACACATTCCCAATTTGGACACGACTTTGACCGGCAATGTTTCACATGATGATGATGATGATGATGATGATGATTCTCTCTATCTCTCTGGAGCAGCCCACTTCGAATTGCACTTGACTGTGGCTGGGGGAAGGCCACAACTTGATGGCCAACAGAGAGAGAGAGAGAGAGAGAGAGAGAGAGAGAGAACTTTTCATTTGGTGCGTGTGTGCCGCCCATTAGGTTCATACACCTCAATTCACTTCTATTCACTTCCCATTCACTTCAAACTTCCAGGGCTCCCTACCAGTGCTCTTGCCATGAGTTGAGTTGAGTGGAGTTCATTTCAGTTGGACTTGGAGTACGGTTCTTCAGCTGAGGTTTTCTTTTTTAATGAGACAGAAAGGCTAATTACGAGCGTCATGCGTATGCAAATGGAAGAGCAGAGCAGAGCAGAGCAGAGCAGAGCAGAGCGAAGAATGGAAAAAGCAAAGTCCAAGAGTGGGCTGGCAAGGGCTGGAGGAAGGGCCAGCAAAGGCATGGTGGCAGGTGGAAAGTGTGTTTTGGGAGTGTGCGAAATATTCTTTCTCTCTGTCGCTGTCATTGTAGAATTCTTTTTGTTTTCCCCCCCCAGTAATCAGAGCAGCGATCCGAGCACCGAGGCGTTGCATTCTCGTTCAATTCATTCATTCATTTGCATTTGCATTTCCACTTTGGGGTTTGGGGTTTGGGGTTTGGGTTTTTGTTTAATTATTTTCTTTCCCACCGCGTGAAGCATAAATGCCTGCGCCACAGCTGGCATTATTTTTATGGCCGCGTTTGTGTCTCGAGTCTTTTGTCTTGTTTGTGGCTTGCTTTGGGGCCGTTTGCAATTCGGTCAAGCAATCATTTATTCATTCACTCCGCCACTCGACTTTAATTGCTGCCATGTTGCATACACATACAACGCCCCGCCGCTCCTGTTGTTGTTTTAATTACTCGGCATGTTGCATGCAAATCTGGAAAACTCTCGACTCTCGACCGAACAATGAACAAAGAATATTTGTATTTTCTTGCTTTTGCACTTTCCACAAGCTTCCCGCTGATGAATGGGAGTGGCAGGTGGCAGTGGCAGTGGCAGGTGGCAGCTGGTGGGGGTAGTCATACTTGTCTATCAATATCCCATTAACTGGCCACCGCAGCAGCAGCGGGAGGGAGCTGTAGCTGCCCCTCCCCCAAAGGCACCATCCAACCATCTTGCCACACATCTACCTACTAGTAGTTACCGTTACGCAGCAACTACAAAAAACATGTTTGGGGCGTTCAGCACAGAACCAGAATCGAAGTCGAAGCCGAAGAATCGGAATCCAAACGAGAGCCAAAGCTGAAAATTCAAATGGAAAACTAAAAACTGGCTGGCTGGGCTGACTCTTGGCTCCTGCTCTGCTCATCAAGTGGAATTTTCATTTATGAACTTTTGCCATCATAAAAGAAAACATCCAAATCCAAGGCAATTCTCCGCCTATGCCGAAGTGGCTGAAGTTAAACGAAACGAAATGCGAGGAGAAAATACTTATACAATGGCGATAAAAGCAAGAAAAGAAAAAGAAGATGCGGCAGGCAGGCAGGCAGGCAGGCAGCAACAAGAAGTAGCATCAGGGGCAGCAGCAACAGCATCAGTGGCATCGGCATTAATCGATTGGAAACTCGTTTTCAGGTTCATTTGACTGGAAAGTGCATTTTGTGTTATTAATATACAGAAAGAGATGGCCACAAGTGATGGAGAGTCTTAGATATGTTATAATTAAGTGGCATTGTTTTCAGCCGCGGCAACAGCTTCAGCTTCAGCTTCAGCTGGAGTGCAATCCGTTGAGAGATCCGTTAGAGAAAACACTTTACCCCAGCCACAGATACAGATACAGATACAGATACAGATACAGATACAGACAGCTACAGCGTTGGGAAAGAGAAGCATAGAGAGAAAAAAAAGATCTCTGATCTGAAGAGGATTTCCCCCCACCGACAAATAACGCTGAAATTGGGATCATCTGGAGGCTCTTCTGTGAAGCGTTGGCCTCTTCACTCTGGGGGAAAAAGAATGATTGCAATTGGATCTTCTTAATAAACTTTGGATCAATGGAACATGTGGAGGAATGTGCTTCGAAAAGATTTCTTCAATTATGTTGAATCTTAGAGAGAGAGTTTTCAAAGCGGTATTGGAAAAGATCATGGAAGATCTCTTTTAGAAATGATTTCCTGCAGTGCTTTTGGCAGTGCAATCTCTTGAGGAAGTTTCGAAGAAGAAGTTCGATTCTTTGGCATTGAAATGTTGAAGTGGAAGTTCATGGGAAACTTATCTTATCGGTAGAAGTTTCGCTTTGATCACTTTGCTTTCATTTCGCACATCATTGCTGATCAACACTAACAATTTTCCCGCTCTCTTCTTATGTTTTGCAGTTGCAACGCCAAGCAATCGCTGAGGAAGACCAAGTCGAAGGTAAGCAAACAAACTGAAAGCCCATTCCCCCTTTCTCTACATCTACACCCGAGGAATGGTCTTGTTTTGGGTGGGAGATCACCAACCGACTGACGTGATCTTCACTTCACTCGACTCGACTCGACTTTGTTCTCAGCTGGCTCTGGTTCAGTCGGAGTTGCGTTTTTTATGTCTTCCGCTAAATTGCGATCACAAATCAAGGCAGGTGTTGAGTGGATTGCTGGATTGTAGCATTCTCAGATTGAAGGCGACTGGAGCTGCGGCACTCGAAGGTGGAGCTGGAGCAGTCGCGGCAGAATCTAAGTCTAATCACTATTGTGGCTCTCCAAGTGCCTTTGACTGTTTACGGCCCTGTGTTCGTCTCTGTCTATTTATAGTCAAAAGTGCAGGCAATCGCCTGGCAATTAGTCACTACAACGAACCTCAAACTGGCAACCATCCAGAGGCTGCATCCATCCATCTGTGCAACTGTCCAACTGTCCATCTGTCGCCCATCTGCCCAACCCATCCAGTGCCATCCATCTATCCATCTCTTTATCTGTGCTCTGGCGACTTGTTCGCCCTCAGTTTCATACTGCACTAATGAGCGATGGGCGCGTGACACGAGCCCTCTTTCGCAACATCCATCTCTAGCAACATTTTGGGTCTTGTCTCTACCTATCTCCCACTTTGGCATCTCTCTCTTCCATCCTCCTGCTCGCCCCCATCTCTAATTGAGATGGGACTGCCTGGGATCCCTGCTCCCATCTCTAGTCCCCATAAATTGTCCAGTGGCGGCTTAGTGTAACTAATTGACGATCAACGCAAAACGCTTTGGCGGCATCTGTGAGACCGTCCGCCCGCCCGCCACCCTCTTGGTGACATTGAGTAATGCCAGCGGATGGGCTGGGGAGGTCCTTGGGCGCAACCCATTTGGAGGGGTTTCGGTTTTGGTTTGTTTGAGCCGCCTCGTGTGCTTTGACGACTCTTCGACAATTAAGTTGGCCAGTGGCTTATTGCCATCGTTTTCTGCTGTGCTTATTGCTGACAAAACGAAAATGAATTGCTGTTTTCAGAGACCAGCAAAAAGACATCCGAAGAGTTGCACGAACTGCCCTCTGCCCGTGGCTCCAGCTGGTCCGGTCCAGCTTCTAATTTATTATCGGATGCTGTTGCCGTGGATGCTGATGTGGATCTGGCTGTGGATGCCAACAGATTCACAAATGCGTTCCAGCTGCGCGGCCGCACCTCTCTGACAGTGCAGTCAGCGGCGCTGTCATGGCAATTAATTTTAGCTTTTGCCTCTGCCACAGACTTTGCCTTTTGATTTGATACTCTTGCGCCCCAAAGGGGTACTTTGATTTGGAGCAAAATGTGACTCGTATTTATATGCTTTATCTTAAAGCATAAATACTTGCCTTGCCTACTAGCGATGGCAATTTTCAGCTTCGGTCGCTAGTTTCGCGCTCTGTGTTGTCCCTTGCAATAATTAAGTTATGCAATTGCGTTCGGTATGAGGAAGTGACTGCTGCTGGCTGCTATTTCTAAGTCTTTTTGCTGCTGCCGGGGCACACATATTGTATGCATTATCTAACGCTTGTATCTAGAATGGCTGGCACTGGACCTGGGGCACAAGTTACAGAGCAAAAGCTTATCAGGAAACAGCCATCTGAGTTTTGGGCTGCGTTTTTTTCTCTCTCTCTCTCTCTCTCTCTCTCTTCGTGTGTGTCTCTCTGTCGCTGTGTCTGTCCCTTTCTGTTGACTAGAACCCTAAAGCCTAAAGCGTGGCTTTTGTTTGTATCTAGTTGTATCTAATCAAAGCATAGTTCATGGCATTCATAAGCACGAAACGACTGTAAAATCCCTTAACTCTGCACCTCCATCCGACTTACTCACAATAATTATTTTTAGTTGTCTTTCGTTTCATTTGACGATCGTTTCGTTGGCTCAGTTGCACCTGGAATGGTCACATTTTCTCTTATGGTTTTCAATTACACTTATCGATTGCCAGCACTCCTGGTAATGGTCCGAGCTGCCCTGCCCCGTGCTGCAGCTCCATGCCCCACCAATGGCAATCATCATCTGCGTTGCCGCTCAAGTGGCAATTGTTAATTTATTGTTTGTGGGCAGCCGTGAGCGTTTCATATTGATTCGGCTTGCCAATTATTGTGTAAATAAATTCCGAATTGCGTGAGGCAGCAACCATAATAGCAACAAAAGTGTGCTGCGTGCTGCTCTGCTCTTCATGAACTTGCCTCGATTGTTCTTGCTGCTGTTGCCAAAGTCCATTCACATACATTTTTGTGGGCATACTTTATGGGCAATTTGCAGCGTGGAGAGCGAGCAAAAGTGCACCAGAACCCAACAAAAACAAGATCGGCAGCAGCCAATACAGTGGAGACGAGTGCAGAGCTGCAATTGCGTGCCTAGCGATGGCATTGGGTCTGCAGGGCACGAAACGTGATGCGATACTTTCAGATTAGAGCGAAGAAAACTCTCAATAAAAATGTGTAGATAAATCGGTTGGGTATTTAAATGGAAAACAAGGCAATCTAATGTGAAGCCTGTGCTGTTCCCAGCTCAGCTCCAGGCACGCGGGGCACGCACAGGGCAGTCACCGTTTACGGTTGCTTCCATCTCCAATTTTTTTGGCCTGCGGGCCTACAAAGCGGCCGCAAGAAACCAAAGTAACGGAGTCAAAGAGCTGTCCGATGAGGAGGGTAGGGGAGAGGTCGCAAGCGAGAGAGCGAATGAGAGCGAAACAAAGCCCAAGCATTGTGCGCTACAAATTGTCACACAATATTTCCGCTTGCCTCTCTCCCCCGATCGTCCGACATTATCGCCTTCTCCTTCTATCTTTGAGCCAGAACAATGCTTGGGCTTGCCGCTGAGGAGGGAGTGGGAGACAAGAGCAAGCAGTAGAAGAAGGCGAAGTAAATACAACAAGCAGCAGAACTAGGGTGAAATGTGGAGAAAGAATGCGACGAATGAGAAAGGCGAAGATTAAGGTTCCTGGTAATTCATTAAAAGAAATTCTATTCGAAGCGCAGGCAATGCAACATGTTCGAGTTTGAACTCCTCCAAAATTGCAGATCAAACTCTACACTCAGCCTCCCCTCTCTCTCTCTCTCTCTCTCTCTCCATGGAAATCGACATCTTTTGGTGTCTGTTGGCTGTCCCAGGGAATTGGTGAGGAAGCGAAGACAGATGGAACAGAAGCGACAGACGCTGGCAGCTTTCATTTGTTAACTCAGTTTATGAAACGGGACTCGACAGAGTTTTCGGCATTCCCCTTGCCCTTCCTCCTCCTGCCTGCTGCTCCTCAACGATCTAGCGCTCCATCTTCGAATGCCAACTTCATCTTCGTTTTGCCACAAGATGAACGTTTGCTGCCGTGAATGCTGCTGCTGTCTACCTCATTGACTGACAGACAGGCAGCGGAGAGTGCAGTAGCGCGACTGAGAGAGCGAGAGAGATGGACCGACAGGGAGACATTCGATTAGCATTAAGCGCAAGAAAGAAGAAAACAAAACAAAAACCACTAAAAAAGAGCCGACTGCAGTGCAGGAAAGGATCCTCTGTGGACTAGGAATAGGCTTAGGAATTGTGTTTGGGATTCGTCGAGACAGGGCCGAATGTTATGCAATTTCAGTTACTTAGGGCCCATCAGTCAATCAGCTTGAATGTCTGTCATCACTCCTCTCTGTCGCTCTGCTCCTCTGCTCAGGCCTCTCGCTCTGTTGGTGTCTCGCTCTCTTGGTCACTCGTTGACAGGCAGCTACCGAAGTCTCTAGCCCCCTGTCAATAGTCAAATGGGGCTGACAGTCTTTTGGTTCTTTCTTTAATTGCCCCCCCCCAAAAAGCGGAGCTACTGACACAACTATGTAGATATATCTATGTGTTTCCATATCTATCCAACAGTCTGTTAGTGAGTGACCCATTTTGGTCCAGCGATTACCAGGAATCCCTTACCTTGAGCCCAAAACTCCATCAGATAATAGCAAAACGTTTTTGGAAATCGTTGAATATACTTTTGAATTTTATATGGGGAATGCTTTTCCCATTCATCTACTGACTAACTCCACAGAATTTAGAGACTGATCAGAGCCAGCAACGTTTCACTATGCGACGGGGTCATAAGTGGATTTCTATTTGGCTTTTGCCGCGGGAGAGTCTCTTCTTTGGCATTGTCTTTTGAGCCAAATTTAGCAATTTAGCCATAAAAAAACGTTCGACCAAATTGCCAACTGGAATCTCAGTTAAGTTGGGAAATCACTCCAGCTGATGGCTGGGGCAAGACTTCATTAAATATATGAGAAATAATTGCAATTATTGAACATCTCTTTCTCCCTCTCTCTCTTTGGTCTCTCTCCTGGCTCGCCCCAAACATTCACTTTGGCTTTACCTTTTGCGAAAAAAGTTCCCCAAATGCGGCTAAAGGACATCATCATCATCATCATCATCATCGTTGGCTTGCGGTCGAGCGATGACTCTCCTTCCATCTATGGTAGAGACGTGCTGCCCACGCATACAGAGCCCGAACAGGGAGAAGCCCAAGATGGTCTAAACATTTGCATTTTTCATATACTCACAGGCAGTCCACTCTCCGCTCTCCACTCTGTACCCCCTCAGGGGCTCCGGGGTTCCTGCAGTTTGTTTGTCAGACTCATTTGAATGCAGTTGCTATTTATGTTTTATGCTAAAGGGGCAGACGACCGACGAGCGAGCGAGCAAGCTAGCCAGCCGTGAGATAACCAGAGTTGGAGCTGCAGTTGGGTCTCCACGTTGGAGCCTCCACAGTCAGAGGCCACTGTGGTCGCAGTGCGATTTGCAGTCTCGTTCTTCACCGGTTAAGGCAACGAGGCCAAAACGAGACTCTGACGGTTACCCTGATGTTGTCCAAAGTCAAAGTCAAGTCAACATCTACCAGTGCCCCTGCCCGTGCCACTCCCCTACTGCTTTACTGCCTGCACACCTACTCAATTCTTGTCCAACGTTTGCAAGCTGCAAAGGCAGGCTGC